ACCTTGGGTTCCCTATCACCAGCTTCCTTGTCCCCTTCTGCTTTCTGGTCCTTGTCACTGGGCTCCTGTACCTCGTTAGTCTCATTTGGTTTTATGGGGCTGTCCACTGCCAGGCTGAACAGTGAACCTCAGAGGTAACTTCACCACTGAGCTAAAAGGGTGTCTGGGGGCCATACTCTCGGGGTTCTCCAGTCTCCTTTAGGCCAGTAAATCTGGTCTTTTTTTGTGGGTTATGAATTAGGTAGATTTTTGAAGTGATGTATGAAAGGGTCAGTTCTGTTCATTTGCCTGGAAAGGAAAACAGGTTTAAAAACCTTTCTTTCCTAATTTTATTTTTTCGGGTAATGACAGTATATCATATCATTATAGTATTAAGGAAATCAAATGGATGCTCACCAAGTAGTCCTCTCAATAAAGGGGAGAAATTAACTTAAATGTACAAATACTTTTTAATGCTTAACTACCCGAGAACCAAAATTTTGGGGGGGATGTTGAGCCTGATGTCTGGGGAGGTGGCAGTACATCGAAGTATTTTTTGTTGGATTCAAGAGTAGAAGGGACCTGTGCTGAATTTCCTGAGTAGAACTTTAGCACTGAAAGAACAGCAAAATCTTAAATGACGACATAGAATTTAGGTAGATAGGGCCTTCAACTGAATTTCCTGTGTCTAATGAGGTGCAAGAGCAGCAGAATGATTCTTGTGCACCCAGGAATGGCACAGAAGTAGTAGAGAGATTTGAAGGAGTCAAATGGATGAAAGTGAGCACTCACTGATAACAGTCCATGCAGACTATTGGCATGGGACATCTCAGTGAGTGACATGTTGGACACATTATTACACTAAGGAGTACACTTACCCGCCCCTTAGCAGCTTGAAATTACTTAATCTCTCTATAATTTAGGCACAACCTTGTGAAATTGAGGAAGGATCTCCAATAGACTGAGATGTTTGTGGAATGTTTTACCATATTTGTGGAATGAGTGCTTTGAAATAGAATTTAAGTTGAACTATAGAAAAATAAAGTTAAATTTCTTACATCTGAGTTTACCTGAGATTGGAGAATGGAATTCTTGTGCACCATACTTGCCGAGAGTTGACATCTTTAATGAAGATTTGTGTCAGATTAAAAAAAAAGTTAGCTACATCAGAATTTCTTTGAAATAATTTATCATTAACTGGGACTATTCTGCAATATTATGGTAATTTTAAAAGATGTAGTTGTATGCAGTTTAAGTGTAGAAAGCAGTCCAATTGTTTGCTGTGATTCCATTTCAATATCCATAAAGTGAAAAGATTGGAATGCTTTGTAAACTTTTAAGATTCTGAATTTGATGTTCTTTGCACTTCTATCTCCAGTATGACTTCAGTTTCCACTATAGCTTAATTTATACTTCTTATGCGATTGAGTATTTTGGTACATGTATATGTTAACATATATACTATATATGCTAAGTCAAAAATCATGTAGGTTTATTCTTTAATGTATATACTCATGTAAAACACGCACACATACGTATATATCATATGTATACACATATATATATTTCCAAGGGACTTCTTTATTCATGGAAACCCTAGTGGCATAGTGGTTAAGTGCTACGGCTGCTAACCAAAACGTCAGCAGTTTGAATCCATCAGGCGCTCCTTGGAAACTGTATGAGGCAGTTATACTCTGTCCTTTAGGGTCGCTATGAGTCGGAATCAACTCGACAGCAATGGGTTTTTATGGGTTTTTCTTTCTCTTAAAAATAAAATTTAACAATTTAATTTTGATAGTTAATGTATTCATTTCATTCAAAAATAAATTGACATAAGAAGGTATACAATGAAAACCACTCTCCTTCCCACCCTTATTCATTACCTACTGAGTTTCACATATCCCTAGTAGGTACCCACGTATGTTAGCTTCTTGTGAATACTTCCAAGAATTCTTTTAAGGATATGCTTGCAGATACAAATATATATGTATACACAGAACATACACACACATACACGCGTAGTTTTACCCCACTTTGTTTATAAAATGGTAGTAAATTCAATACGTTGTCTGACCTTAGTTTAGTTTTTCACTTGATATACATTGGGTATTTCCCAAATCAGAATATACAGAACATCCTTGTTCTTTTTTATAGCTACATAGTAATCTATTATGTGTATACACTGTAATTTATTAAACCATTACCCTACTGATGATCACTTATGTAGTTTCCAAATTTTTGCTACTACAAACAGTGATGCTAAAATATATAACTTTGAATAGATATCCTTTCACCCAGAAGGGATTATATCTGCAAATAAATTACTAAAAATGATATTACTATATTGGAGGCTATATATATGTATTATTTTTATAGATATTGTCAAATTGCACCCCCTGCCCGAGGTTGACTTTATCCTTGGACCAACAATCTACAAGAAGATTTGTTTCCCTATAGCCTCACCAACACTGGTATTAGGAAACTTGGATTTTTGCCAATCTCTGATAGATGAAAAATGATCTTTTAATGTGCTTTTAATTTGCATTTCTCTTATTATGAGTGAGATTGAGCATCTTTTCTTATATCTATCTATCATTTGTGTTTTCTGTGAACTATTTATATCATTTGCCTAATTTTCTACTGGATTATTGGTGTTTTCATATTTCAGTGAGCTATTTCTATATTAGGGAGATTAGTCTTTTGTCTGTATTGTGAGCTGCAATTATTTTTCCTCAATTTATCATTTGTCTTTGACGTGCATGTGTTCATTTACGTGTCTGTGTATCTATGTGTTTTTCAAAGGTCTTTTCCTTTATAGTTTTTTGATTTTGATTAAGAAAGACATTCTCCACTATAACATAAAAATTCTTCATTTAGAATTTATCCTGTGTATGGTTTTGAACATCGGAAGTGTTTTAAACTTTTCTTCTTATGAATCTTATGCATTTCTTGTTAATTTCATTTCTAGATATTTTATGTTTTTTGTTGCTATTGTATATTGGGTATTTTCTCCCATTATGTCTTCTCACTGGTTGTTGTTAGTATATAAGAAAGCTATTGATTTCTTTGTATTGATTTTATATACAGTTGTCATACCTGAATTATCTTATTGATTGTAATAATCTATGTTGGTTAGTACTACCAGTACAATATTAAGGCATCCTTGTCTTGTTTTTGCCTTTAGTGGGAATGTACAAAAAAATTCCTTTAAACAAAGGATCTTCTAGTTGTTTTAAAACAGAATTTCATTTGATTCACTTTGATCTCCTCAGATCTCAGGTATCTGTTGTGGAAACAGTTAATTAAACTTTTCTAAAAGCAGGATGTGGTAGGCAAAAAAATGGCCCTGTCTTAGTTATCTAGTGCCACTATAACAAATACCACAAGTGGATGGCTTTAATAAACAGAAATTTATTCTCTCAGTCTAGGAGGCTAGAAGTCTAACTTCAGGGTGCCAGCTCCAGCTGAAGGCTTTCTGTCTCTGTCAGCCCTGTGAGAAGATCCTTGTCATCAATCTTCCCCTGGTCTAGGAGCGTCTCAGTGCAGGGATCCTGGGTCCAAAGGACTCGCTCCACTCCCTGCTCTGCTTTCTTGGTGGTAGGAGGTTCCTCTCCTCTCTGCTCTGTTCTCTCTTTTATATCTCAAAAGAGACTGACTTAAGACACAACCTAATCTTGTAGATTGAGTCCTGCCTCATTAACAGAACTGCCTCTAATCCTGCAGTTGGATTTACAACACATAGGAAAATCACAAAATTGTGGACAACCACACAGTACTAGGAATCATGACCTAGCCAAGCTGGTGCACATTTTGGGGGGACACAATTTAATCCATAACAGTCCCCAAAGATGTACACCTACATGTCCCCAGAACCTGTGATTATGTTAGGTTACATGGCAAAATAAAATTAAGGTTGTAGATGAAATTAAAGCTTCTAATTATCTGACTTCAAAATACAGAGATTATCCTGGATTATCCAGGTGGGCCCATATAATAACAAGGGTCCTTTAAGTGTTGAAGAGAGAGGCAGAAGAGTCAGTATCAGAGTGGTGCACTGTAAGAAAGAGTCAACCAGCCATTCTTGGCTTTGAAAATGGAAAAGGGCTATGAACCAAGGAATGCTGGTGGCCCCTAGTAGCTGAAAAAAGCAAGGAAATGGATTCTCCCCTAGAGACTCCAGAAATTAACACAGCCCTGCAGACACCTTGATTTCAGCCCAGTGAGACCTGTGTTGTCAAACTTCTGACCTTCAGAACTGTAAGATAATCAGTTTGTGTTGTTTTAAGCCACTCAGCTTGTGCTAATTAGTTACAGCAGCAGAAGAAACTAATACACAGGGTAACTCTTCCTTCAAATGAAACTTTACATGGAAGCCCCAGATAAAAACAGCCACCCTGATCGAAGGAGGGCTGTGACATAGGTCCCAAGGCACCTCTTGTGGAACCTCTGGGGTTGTGAACTGAGTACTTTGAAAACCACTTGTGTAAAGCAAGGTGTTGTTGTGTGCCATCAAATGGATTCCAACTCGTAGCGACCCTATAGGGCAGAATAGAACTGCTCCATAGGGTTCCAAGGCTGCAATCTTTATGGAATTAGGCTGCCATATCTTTCTCCCGTGGTGTGGCTGGTGGGTTTGAACTGCTGACTTTTCGGTTAGCAGCCAAGCACTTCAACCACTATGCAACCAGGGCTCCTTGGTCTACTATGTGTTCCACTGAAATACCTGTCCCTTGGAGAAGAATCAGATTTTCTTTTCTTTCTTTCTCTTTTTATTGTGCTTTAGGTGAAAGTTTACAGCTCAAGTTAATTTCTCATTCAAAAATTTATAGTTATTGTTTTCTGACATTAGTTGCAATCCCCACAATGTTATAGCACACTCCCCCTTTCCACCCTGAGTTCCCTGTGTCCATTCGATCAGTTCCTGTCCCTTCCGGCCTTCAGAAATATGGAACGCTTCGTGAATTTGCATGTCATCCTTGCACAGGAGCCATGCTAATCTCTCTATCATTCCAATTTTAGTATACGTGCTGCCGAAGTGAGCACAGAATTGGGTTTTCTTTATTCTATTATTTTTAACAAAAATTTAAAAAATCTTTGTGAGGCAAGATTTTAAATTCTCAGCAATGCAGCTGTTACTAGAAATAGGTAAATGGATTAACACACAGTGAGCAGCCTCTTTTGCTTGGAGTCTATACCAGAAGCTAGAAAGGAAAGTTTATGGTTCTTTCCTGTTCCTTCTTAAGCTCTGGATGTAGGACGTGCCTTTTAAAACAAAGTACGGGTTTAAAACAGCAAACATAAGAACAGCACATATTTGGGCTTAAAGATGATGTTCTTATTTTGTTCATACCTAATTGTGGGAATATCTGTACTGCTATTTCATCTTTGTTTTCTTACATGATTCATGATTAATTTTGCCAATATAACAGTATAAAGTATACAGTATATAACTTGCCAGTATAACATAATAAAGTTTCTTTTACATATCCTTTCTCAGTGAATAAAGGCCTTTCTTATTTTTTGTCATATAACTTACCTCAGTGCTTTCCACCTTAACAATAAATACTTCTTCCTTGAGCATAAAAGTTTGTCACCAACGTTAACAAAGTTTTACAAAATTTTAAGTTTCTTATTTTATAAATGAAAATTAGTTATTTAAGAACTCTTTAGGAAAGAAAAAGAACTAAATGTATTGTATTTTTCAGGGTGATGATGGAATTCCAGGGCCACCAGGACCAAAAGGAATCAGAGTAAGTGATATATTAAATGTTTTGTCAGTTGAAACAGTTAAAAAATAAATGAAATCTTATAAGAACTGGAAATGACCCATATGGAAATGAAAGAAAAAAAAATGCAATCTTTAAAAAGTTAAATTTAAGAGTTGGTATATGTCCATGATTAACCTTTTTTCACTATTTTGTTAGTTAGCTTTATATATGTAGATGTCTATTTAAATATTAGTTTAAATTTAGTTTAATTTAAATTAGTGTAAATTAGTTTAATTTAAGAGGATTTTAAAGTAACTTATGATTAAGAAATATGAAAATGCTGAATTCTAACAACTTATTGATTTAAAAAAGTGTATATAATACAATTGATTTAAACCGGAACTTCCCATGCAGTTTGATCTCTGCTCTCTAGGTTTCAGAGTACTGGTTGGCTTAGGCTGAGTAGCCTACTGGTGTAGCATGTTAAAATATTATAAATTCCTTTGTGTATCTTGAGAATAAGGTTGGGAAGCACTGGCTTAAACCATTTTTGGAAGAATATCTTGATTTGTCAGATTTTAATGTTCTCCAAATCAGGATGTATCTCAAAATTGAAGTGTACAGTTAATCTAATTTTTTCTGAGAACCTTTTAGGTCGACATATATCTTATAGTGTGTTTTAGAATTGACGGGAAACTGTAGTTTAAAAATGGTATTGGCTTTTGGGAAAACATATTTAAATTCTCCAAGCCTCAGCTTCTTAATTTGTTAAACTAGAGAGCTAAATAGCATGATCTCCAAGGTTCCTTTTAGCTCTGAAATTCTGTTTATACATTGGTGAAGTACTTTGATTTGAATATGAAATATATGGGTGGTGATACAGCATGTTTATTATGTACTCTGCACACATGAGTCAGAATCTACTCTAAGACAACACAATGTATGTGACAAAAATAAACACTCTGATCCTTTGATCTTCAGAAACTTGATATAAAATTTACATAAGTATTAAAAACATTCTGTTTTCCTGTATATTTCTTAAGAATACATAGCTTGCCTGATTGATGTGCTATTTTTGACTTGTGCAGATAAGAAACTGGAAAAGCAGGGAAGAAACTCAAAACTCCTAGTTTATTTTAGCAGATATATGTCTTTGTTTTTCTGCAAGAAATCAACATACTATTAAAAGTCTTTATAATAATCATATAGATATATATAAAACCAGAACATAATAACTATAGCTACCATAAACTATGTCCTAAGCACTGTTGAAACTAAAAAAAAGCTGTCTATTCTATCAATTTCCATTTCCAAATGTCTGAGAGTGTCTGCATAGTCTGTCCCCTGACATAAGATTTTCTGAAACTTATTGATAGAAAATTCAAAACATATATGTACAGAGAATAGTACAATGAACTCCCATTTACCCATCACGCAACTTCAAAAATTAACATTTTGACAGTCTTGTTTCATCTTTACCCCACCACTGAATTTTTGGAACATTTTGAAATAAATCCCACACATCATGTCATTCCACCTGTGAATACTTGAGTAAGCCTTTCTGATAACCACAGAGCCACTATACCATTACCACACCTCAAAAAGTAGCAGTAATTTTCTAGTATACTCAGGGGTGGATCTTTGATGTGGTGAAACCCATGTGAATTTGTTCACTACAGATTAGTAAGTAAGCACAAATATGTCCTTCCTTACCTTGCTTACTAGGTCATCTGCCCCGTCAGGGATTGTAAATTTGAAAAGAGGTTTTGATTCTGTAGGAAGGTACTGTGGGGTTGAGAGAGAGACAGATACCAGCAGAATCTTTGATATGATGAAAAAATGTGAAACTGTTCACTACAAATGATCTGATAAGCTTGCCTATTGGATAATCCACCTCTGAGTATACTCTAAAACCCCGCACATAATCAGAGTTCCTCAGTTGTCTCAAGATGTCTTTTTACAAGTGGTTTGTTCAAAGCAGGATCCAACAAAGTCCACATATTGCATTTGGTTGCTATGTTTCTTAAGCCTTTTTATTAAAGCCATTGGGGAAATGAGGTCATTTGTATTGTACAATGTCTCACATCCTGAATTTTATCAATTGCTTCCTCGTGATGTCATTTAAATTGTTCTTCGGTTTCCCATATATCCTGCAAGTTATAGGTTGCCTGGAAGAGAAACTAGGGAAATTTCTGGAGGTAAAGAAAGAGTTGTAATCTTAAAATTTATTCATTTTACTTTGGTAAACTATACCTCAGTAAAAAAAAAAAAAAGAAGAAGAAGAAATAAAGACAAGAAAAATTAAAGGGAATCCCTGGGTGGTGCAAATGGTTTATGTGATCAGCTGCTAACCAAAATGTTGGAGGTTCGAGTCCACCCAGAGGGTGCTTTGGAAGAAAGGCCTGGCAATCTACTTCTGAAAAATCAGCCACAGAAAACCCTATGGAGCACACTTCTTTCTACTTTGACACACATGGGGTCCTCATAAGTAAGAATCCACTTGACAACAACTGGTTTTAAAAATCAAAGAAAACAGAAAAAAAAGAATATTTCATGGGTAGTGCTGTATACTTACTATTGAATTGTATCATGAGGCACATATTTGTGTGATTAATTTTATTTATGCTAAGTTTGATCAGTAGTTTCAGGTGATGTCAGACTGATTCCTTCATTAAAAATTTCCCCATCAGGGAAACCAGCACAACTTGTACAAGGAAAGGTCATGGAAGCTCCGTAGACACATCCAAACTCCTCGAGGGACTGAATTCCTGGGTGGAGGGCTGTGGGGACCATGGTCTCGGGGAACAGCTAGCCCAACTGGCATAACATAGTTTATAAAGACAATGTTCTATGTTCTACCTTGGTAATTACCATCTGGGGTCTTAAAAGCCTGTGAGCAGCCATCTAAAATACTCCTCTGGTCTCATCCCTTCAGGAGCAAGGGAGAAGGAAGAGAACAGGATACAAGGAAAAATTTAGTCTGAAGGACTAATGGACCACAGCTACCAAGACCTCCACCAGACTGAGTCCAGTACAGCTAGATGGTGCCTGGCTCCCACCACTGACTGCACTGACCCGGATCCCAATAGAGGGTCCTGGACAGAGCTGGAAAAGGGTGTAGAACAAAAAATCTAACTCACACAAGAAAGACCAGATATACTGGCCTGACAGACTGGAGAAACCCCGAGAGTATGGCCCCTGGGCACCCTTTTAGCTCAGTGGTGAAGTAACTCCCGAAGTTCACCAATCAGCCGGGAATTGAACAGCCTCATAAAACAAAACGGAACTAATGAGGCACAGCAATCCAGGGACAAGGACTAGTAGGCAGGAGGGGACAAGAAAGCTGGTGATAGGGAACCCAAATTTGAGAAGGGACGGTGTTGACATATCGTGGGGTTGTTAACCGTTGTCATAGGGCAAGATGTGTAGTGTTTAATGAGAAACTATTTGTTCTGCAAACCTTCATCTAAGGTACAAAAAAAAAAAAAGGAATTATCTGTGTGAGACCAAAATGACAGATCCCAAAAGGTTTGATGGGAAGCCTAGGGGCCAGTGAGTTGAAGATAATGGTGATGGAATAATTTGGAAAAGGATAGTAAGAATAGTAGCACAACTGGAAGAATGTAATTGATGTCACTGAATTGTACATGTAGAAACTTTTGAAATGGTGTAACTTTGGCTATGTATATTTTCACCAAAAAAAAAAAAAAAAATCCTCCAAGGTCTAGAAAGGAGAGTGTTGACATGTCGTGGGGTTGTTACACAATGTCATAAAACAATATGTGTGCTGTTTAATGAGAAACTATTTGTTCTGTAAACCTTCATATAAAATACTATATATATATATATATATAGAGAGAGAGAGAGAGAGAGAGAGAGATAAATCCTCAACAAAATTCTAGGCAATAGAATTCAGCAACATATCAAAAAAATAATTCACCATGATCAAGTGGGATTTATACCAGGTATGCAGGGGTGGTTCAATATTAGAAAAACAATCAATGTAATTCATCACATAAATAAAACAAAAGACAAGAACCACATGATCTTATCAATTGATGCAGAAAAGGCATTTGACAAAGTCCAACACCCATTCATGATAAAAACTCTCAACAAAATAGGAATAGAAGGGAAATTCCTCAATATAATTAAGGGCATTTATACAAAGCCAACATCATCCAAAATGGAGAGACTTTGAAAGCATTCTCCTTGAGAATGCAAACCAGGCAAGGATGTTCTCCATCACCAGTCTTACTCAACATTGTGCTGGATGTCCTAGCCAGAGTAATTGGGCTAGAAAAAGAAATAAAGGGCATCCAGATTTGAAGGGAAGAA